TGTCCGGTTGTCCAATGCCTGTCCGGATTGCTCCAGACACATATGCCTGGATTTGTGTCCAGATCGGTCCGGTGTCTGAGTCCGCGGTTAGGAGAGGAGGCAGCAGCTGCTCAGAATCATGCTGGTCAAGGTATGTCTCAACCTCTCCCCCAGTCACAATCCTCGATGTTTTCCGATTGTCTTTATGGTGGCAACATCAAACAATTGCACACCTGGTTGTTCACGCCCACGTCTTTCTCCATCCTGGATTGAACTCCTTGTCATCCTCATTTTATATTAGCAAGGCCTTATGTCTGGCTCTGATCTATTCTGGGGGGCGACATTCTGGTTCCTTTGCTGATGGGCCTCTTCCTTGTCCAGTTCCTGAAGTCTTCTTCCATCCGACATGTCTTCATGTCCTCCTTTCCCTCCTCCACTTTCACTTCCACCTCCACCTCCAAGATCTAGAGCGCAAACTCAGCCCTCTTCCCCATTGAGACCCCTAACCCAAGGACCAGCAGCCCCTCGCGATATCCTTTTTCTCCTCCTCCACCATGATCATAATCTCAATCCTCAGTCCCCAGTTGCAATGCTCCTGGAACTCTCTCCTTTGCATACTGTGTGATGGGATATAGGGGCGGGGCTCCCTCCCTATGCCATCAGTTGCTGGTATGATGCAAGGAAGCCATATGGACCGTGTGATTTTCCTGTCATGAAAAGGATGGAAAGAAGAAGGAGACTCGAGGCACGAATGCAATCAACCATTGGAGGAGGGATCCTTTCTGAGAAATGATGCCACTGCTTCCATTATGAACGAAAAGATGGGGGCTGCTAAGGGGTCCCCCTGTCTGACCGATCAAACGCCTCCATTTTTTCGATGTTGTGGTATGTAGGCTCGATTTGGACACCGCCAGATCAGTCTATTAGCGAGTTAAGAAGAAGATCAGCAACTTTCTTATGGACAGCAAACCCAAGTAAACAGAATGTCATATCTAAGGTAGCCTGGAAGCATGTCATCAAGCCAAAAGAGCAAGGGGGATTGGGCATATTAGACCCGGGCCAGCAGATGAAGGCGTTGCAAACGAAGTGGGTTTCGAAGCTTATCACCCATCCTCAACTACCATGGGCTTCCCTCGTATTAGAACACATTAGAAGACTGGCTAAATACAAAACATCGGCCAACATGTCAGGGCTGTTTTGGGTGATGAGCAAAGGCTGGGCAAGGAAAAGTAGGAGCGATGGTGAATGGACACTTGGGGTAACTGAGAAGGGGGATGACTCTTATTAGGCACAACTCCTCAAGGTTTGGGCGGACATTTTCCCAGCAAGAGTAAGAGAACCTAGGAACAGAGAGGAGGTACTCCGTCAACCGCTTGTCTGCAATCCCTGGATTAAGGATCACCAAGGGAAGTCGCGTACCCTGACAGCAAGAGATTCGAAATGGGGAACATGGGTGGAACACGGAGTCTGGCAGGTTAGACGTTTATGGTCAGACGACAAACAGCGATGGAAGACGGCAAGAGATCTTCGGAACAAGATGAAGGGTACCCACAAATTGCTAGAGAATCTGAATGATGTTCTTATCTCCATCCCACCAGTGTGGGTAAACCTGCTAGAGAAGGGGTCGAATTGGGAAAAGGGTGACTGGGCCACGTGGTTGTACGAGGATAAACCGGAAGTTGCTTTCAGGATAAGGGATAAGACGGGCCCGGGGGATGCATGGTCATTGGCTGATATGCTATCAATAGAAGAAGTAGGGACCACCACCAGTCAATTAGATAAGACATCTATCTCCCCGATTACAATCTTAAAAAAAGCAGTGCGTAAGGTCAGAGTGGTGGAGACGGACAACTATATGATTTATGTTCCAACTACGTCTCTAGAGGATTTAGAAGTAGACCCGGCAGAATGGGCATGGAATCTCAAGGGAGGTTTTCTGAGGGTTGCCAGAAGAATAAACATACTTCACTATACAACCAAATTGGGGTACAGGCTCAGAAGGAGGTCTTACCCACTGGCAGAATCACTGGCTAATCGATAGGAACGGAGGTTGGAAGTACCCAAGGCGCAAGTCTCTCGTCTATCGTGGTCAGCATTGAATAGTATAAGGTTAGGCAGGGTCAAAAGTTTACGATGGCTGATTTTCCACGTGGCGCTCCCTGTCAACGTTTGGCTGTATGAGTGCTGCAGCCACAATCAGAGGGATCAGATCAACCAGAAGTGCAACCTGTGTACGGATGAAGAGATGGAAACCTTGCTTCACTGCCTGCTGCAATGCCCAGAGGCTGCATATGTGTGGGAAGTAGCCAGGGAACAGTGGCGAAAGATTTCAGATGAGGCCTTTCCGGAAGACAGGAGGATCCTCGTCACCGGTATGGAACTTCCAAAGAAATGGCAATCGTGACAAGAAAAAGGATTTCAATTATTGAGACAATAAACATTCTGGACCATATGGAAAAGAAGATGTCAAATGACGGCATGAAAGGGGCAAATGCACAGATGGGAGGCCAAGAAAGTTCTACACAACCTGCTGGAGACGGATATCACGGCCCAATGGCGAAGAGCAAGAAGGTAAGCCCAACAAAACCCGGAGAAAGCCCGGGAGACATTTAAAACGTTTCTACGGGTTACGTTGGTAAAAGGTAAGATAGCAACAATTGAAGGATCCAGAGTAGTCTTTCACTGGTTTGAGAATACAGAGCAAAGTGAGCAAGAATAGGGCGTCAGATTCGTTAAGGTAGTACTTAAAAATCATGACAGCATTACAGCTGAGGGTTTAGGGTTTAAGGTTTAGGCAGAAACAAGGCAAACAGG